GCGTTGATGGGCCGTTCATAGGAGGTCCTTATGGGTTGATGGGCCGGCTCTTGTTGGGCCATTAACCCAACACTTACATTGGTTACAAATGTCTAATGACCAATGAGTAATGACGTAATGTACTAATGTTCAAAAACAAGTTCATTTTGTTCCAAGAGCTTGCGAGTTGTGATGGTTGAGTCGCTGAGTAGTTGATGAGTGAAAACGGATACACTTATGTGACATGTGTATCTACGTAGGGATTCCACGAGTCGAGGCACACAACTTTGTCTGGAAGACTTATTTATTTATTTTTAAATTATAAAAATGACTAAATGCACAATATCATACTACCTCCGTTCCAAAATGATTAGCCAAATCCAAAACTTTGACGATTAGTATATATTTATTGGAAATTATTTATAATATAAAAATTATATGAAAATATTCTTTGTTAAAAGTACTTTCATAAAGGTAAAAAATTTATAACTTGGGAGAACTATCAAATAAGCCCTCGTATTTACATAAAAAGTGCAAATAAGCCCTTTTATAGGAAGCTCTGTCCGGCCGTCGCCATTTGGATGGGTTGCAAGTAATGGAGAGACTAAAGAATTGTTTTTTTGCTTCAAATTCAGTGATTATAGAAAGAGTTTAAGAACCCAATATCTAATACTCCGTAATTCGATGAACTGTGTTGTTTTTAACATAAAATAAAATTGGATGAACTAATGATCAATTTAAGAAGAAGAAGTTGGCTAACCCGAGTCCGTTTCTTCTCGCTTGATCCAACCTTCTGAGTTCTGATCGAATTTTTTTATGTATTACACAGTATTGGGCCCATCCATATGTTATCCATAGTTTTTGTACGCAAAAGAGTTTAATAAATAATGAGGGTATTCAGACTTTTTTAAAATAGGGTTTCTCCTAAGGGGTTGCTTCGTGAACCTCCACAATTGTTTAACGTAATCATGGGTGGACAAATTTGGTCTTCTTAATTATTAATTAAAATTAAGTATAATTAAAAAGTTAATTAAAATTGCTTTGTGCACCACAGCTCTACGCTCGGCTCCCTTGTTCATATCAATTTTGCTTTAAATATAGATCCAATTAAATGTTGCCATGTGACCAGTAATTCTTTTTTTATATAAAATGTCATAACTTTTTCATTTTTGCTCCAGTTTTTATAAAAATTATACCAAATTAAATATCTTTTTATTATCTTTCATATGACACCAATATTATATATGTAATTTAAAAAAAACAACTCTAGTCAATTCTCGTGAAAGGTCGATAAAGAGTAAATTCCCAAAATGGGACCAAAACTTATGAAAAGTGCCACAATAGGACTACTACTTTTCCGTGTGTTATCGTAGGACCAAAACTAGGTTGTAATGCCAAAAATGCCCTGCAAAGATTTTCGGAGTGAGTTCTCAAGCTGTAAATTTTGCGATGAATACTGGCTGCGATGAACGGCGACCCTGCTGCATTCCCAGGTGAGCTTCTTCTTCTTTTTCCTCTTCCTCTTCCTCTTCCTCTTCTTCTTCCTCTTCCTATTCCTCTTCCTCTTCTTCTAAATAGGAACGAATGACTCCTATTTAGAAGAAAAGCTTGCTAACGATTGAGCGGGATAATTTCATTTGTCTCTCTTATTTAGTTCTCTTAGGTATAAAATAAGTCGACTAAAAATTGAGCGGGAGGATTTGTTGTCTCATACGTAGTTCTTTAAGGTATAAAATATGTCGACTATTAATTGAGCGAGAGAATTTGTTGTCTCATGTGTAGTGCTTTTAAATAGATGAGAAGATAAGTGTGCTACTAATTGAACTGAATAGTTTTATCCCTCATATGGTCTTAAGTTTTCTCTATTAGGTGTTAGAAGATAAGCTTACTAACAATTGAACGCGAGATATTTCTCTCATATATGTAGTTCTTTTAAGTATAAGATAAATCGGGTAACAATTGAGCGGAATTTCTCTCTATCATATGTAGTGCTTTTAGGAGATACTTTATAAGATAAGGCGGCTAACAATTGAGCGAGAGAATTTTTTCTCTCATATGTAGTGGTTTTAAGAATACAAAGATAAGCTTGCTAATAATTGATCGAGAAAAATTTCTCTATCATATGTAGTGCTTTTAGGTACTTGAAAATAAGTTTGCCCACAAATGAGGAGGGGAATCGAACGAGATAATTTTCTCTCTCATATGTAGTGCTTATAGGTATTAGAAGATAAGTCGGTTAACAATTGAATGAGAGAATTTTCCATATCATAAGTCGGTGTCAATTTATTTTCTCTAATATACTCTTCATTGAATATTTATTGTATGACTTATACTTTATGATATTAGCATATTGTATCGAAGTTTGAATATTGAAAGGTTGATTAACAAATATTCAAATGTTTTATTTTTATTTTATACTCCCTCCGTCCCGAAAAGGTTCGTCAAATTGACTTTTCTTGGTCAACGTCAATCAACTTTGACCAACTATATTTTTTAATACGTAATTATTTTGAAAATGAAAATTATATCAAAATGTTCCTTATTCAAAATATTTTCATAAAAGTATAAAATTTATCAGTTATATATAAATATAATAATTAAAATCATTGTCCAAAGTTTACCATCATTAACTAAGAAAAGTTAATATGGCAAACCTTTTCGGGATAGAGGTAGTATATGCAATATTGGTGTCAAATGAAAGATCATAAATAATTATATTTTGATATATCTTTTATGAAAATCAGAGAAAAAATGAAAAAGTTATAGCAAAAATGGTATTTTTTTGTATGATGGGACGCATATGAGAATAGATGTCACGTTTCTAACGATACCAAGGAGTATCGATGTTTAACGTTCTTTTGCTTAGGGCATCTCCAACGCACTAGGTGCATTGTAGCTGAGGTGGCCAGATTTTGGACTAGGTTCATTCATAATGTGGGTCAAATATTACACAAAGGAGAGTGTTCATTCGGATAGCTCTCCAATGCGGAACATGTAAAGCAAATAAAAAGACAAAAGAAAAAATAGAAAACAAAGAGTAAACTAAGGGGGGTGTCCCCAACCTGGAATCTGACAGATTTTAATAGACATTACAATTCCATCAAAATATAGGTGTCCTCAATTTGGATTTTTATGGAGTCTATGAAAGTATAGGTGTGCTCAAACAATCCATGGATTTTAATTAATTTTTTGGAATTGTACCTGCAAAAGACTCCATCAGATATCTAACCAAGATGCATCGGATTTCAAAAGACTTTGATTTTAACAAAGATGTGTATGAACAGTGAGGTAAGTCACCGGCAAAGAGATTCATACAAGTCGTATGAACATTACCGGTTGTTGGTCACTCGACATGTCTGGATGTAACTGGTGAAGGACTGAGGCAGCATCACCTACTTTGTTGTTCAGTCACCGCCAACCGGAGAGATCTGCGCACATTGAGATGGTGTGTCCGAAATTGAAGCTTGGCTAAGGGTTAGAGATGAGAGGAATAGCAGAGTTAATCATCGGCTATGCCTAGAAAATAGATTCTGTAATTGGATGAGATGAAGAACAAAGGTAATCGATGAGAAATTGAATGAACATTACGTAATCTATTCAATGTGAGGAAGGGTAGAGGTAATCGAACAGGTCTAAAGTCCATTCAAATCCAAATAATTCCATCAAACTGAAATCCATAAAATTCTACTAAATTCCATTAAAATCTATTGAATTCCACCAAATTCCATAAAATTCACAATCTTTAAAAATCCATTAAAATCCATAATGAGGACACCCCCTAAATGAGAGGCTCTCCATGCAAATAGGCCCATGTTTCCTCTCTTGCTTTTGTCATAGAGTGGCACCTTCGGTCCATATATGGACCTTCTCTTAGGATGTTTTTACTTGGACTGTAATTCGTCCCAGACCAGACCAGATCAGACTAGACCAGACCAGTTCAGACCAGATCAGACTAGACCAGACTTGGATAGTTATAAAAATACAAAGAAACCAGACCAGACCAGACCAGACCAGACCAGACCAGTTCAGACAAGACCAGACCGGACCAGATCAGACCAGACCAGCAAATTACAGTCTAAGTAAAAACATCCTTAGACTACGGAGTCTACGGTTCATTTTTTTTAATGCCACATCAGCTGCACCAGGTTCATTATATTTTGCATTGGAGTAGACAATTGCATTTAGCAAATGCATTTGATGAGGTGGAACCACAAGCCACCCCAACGTTGGAGTTGTTGACTTATGGCATTTATATAACAAATGAGTGAATTATGGAGAGAATGACACTATTGACACATGGATCTTTTAGAGGACAAAAGTGTATTTTATATAACAAATGAGTGAATTATGGAGAGAATAACACATGGATCTTTTAGAGGACAAAAATGTATTTTAAAGATGCATCTCCTTTCTTATACTACCCCGTTCTTAAATAAATGAAACACCTTGACTTTTATACTATTCACATGTTCTACTTTGACTGCGTTTTATTTATTAAAGTAATAATATTATTTTATGAAAAAAATATTGTTAAACTTGTCTCATTGTAAATTTTCATAATCTAATTTTTTAATTTTTTTACTAATTCAAAATCATTTATATTAATGGTCAAAGTTGTATCTTAGCAAGTGTAAAATGTTGACCGTTGCATTTATTTAAGAACGAAGGAAGTATATAAATAGAAGATTCTGAAATCTATTACGGAGTAATAGAAATTTAAAGTTAAGTAGCATGTAAAAAAAAAAGTGCATATTTCATGTTAAACGTCTGACCAAGAGAATATGTTAAAGAGTTCGGGACCTCGGGTAGAGATTGAAAAATTGATGATATAATACTTCAAAAAGATAAAAGAGAAATAATATGACCAATAACATTTGGATTAAACTAGCTAATGGGTTGAAGTAATCAAACTGTAATCCTGTAACAACCTATAATCCCGCACAAGAAAAAAACATTTTCTCCCACCTTTTAGTTCACTCTCTAAACTACAATAATCTCTTGATACAGGTAAAGACGTAAAGTTATCCACACACTCAAATAAGTAGATTTCTTCTTAAAGCTTCTAAACACCCAACAGAGGGAATTGACAAAATATAAAGGAAAATCAGCTCATGTTCATGTAATCTAATCTGAATAATGCAAGATACGATACCTACATAAAAGACATAGTAGATCATTATAACTACATTAGGAATATAGATGAAGCAAAAGGCTGTCCACTTTGATTGAAAACCCTAAAGGCTCACATGCTTAGGAAACAGGAACTCCAAGTGCTAAAACCAATTCATTGTATATTTAACCAAAATTTGAAAAATAAACAGAACATAATTTAATGAGAACAGATGGGGTGTAAAATCAAAATCTCTTAGCGCTTCTTGGAGACACCAACAGTCTTTCCCCTGCGTCCAGTAGTCTTAGTGTGCTGTCCACGTACACGAAGACCCCAGTAGTGTCGCAGACCACGATGGTTCCTATTATTTAATTTCACATGAACAGCAAGTCAGATACTGTAGGAAGACCTTACCAGCTAAGATAGTGAAAGCAAAATGGTAATAGAGATTTACTAAAGAAATGAGTTGTACATGATCTATATGTTCAGACTAACAATAATACTTCACTAATAATGGATTGAACAAAATCTATATCAGCTCTGTTAACCCATTGAATCTCAATTAGAAATCTCGAAAATAATTTTTTTAAAACAAAATCTATATCATGTTCAGAAAAAATGACAAGGTATTGGAGTGAATAAAAAAAGTGAGAGAAACTGTTAGCATAGGGGTTGCATAGGGGTTAAATGGACCATAAAAGTTGTTCGCAATCTATCTGTTAACATTTCAATTGCATTACTCATCAATTTCACAACATTGAGAAAACAAGTTCAATGTGCAGAATCTCACATTGGAAGCCACAGTTTCAAAGTTCCTTAAACAACGTAATAGAACTAGTATAGTAAATAATTGGGGTAAGAAATCATTACCTGATTTTCTTCAATCTCTCGAGATCATCCCTGAGTTTCATATCCAAGGCATTGGATACAACCTGTGAATAGTTACCATCCTTGTAATCCTTCTGCCTGTTAAGGAACCAGTCTGGGATCTTGAACTGACGGGGGTTCGCAACAACCGTCATCAGATTTTCAATCTCAGCAGAAGACAGCTCTCCAGCCCTGTAGTCAGCCATATATGATTAATACATTCAGGCAACACTCCGAAACTTGATTCGCTAAACCATGTAAATAAGCTTAAATAATAGACACCAATAAGTCTACCTATTTACAGTACAGAACAACCGACTTAGGCCCATCTAACTAAATCAAGATGCTAAAGACCGTTAAAATGTGAACTTTTGTGGTTGAATACAAGAACAAGGATACCATGAGTTAATGCAGCAAAGTGATTCAACATCGAGAATCACAAAAAAAAAATTAATAAAAAGAGATAAATGCGTTAAGCTAACCGAAATTCACCACTAGGAGGAAGGAATGCATTTGTCGATTAAAAAAATATATAGTTTTCCGATTTGAAAATCAAACTAATACGTTTGTGATCGACAATGTAACTTCCTAGCGGGTATATAAACATGAAAGAAATGATGATCGGAAAAACATCGTCAAAACAAAGGTTCAAAATGCTGAATGATGTAAGAAAGATGGACCTTTTGTTCATGTCGATGTCGGCTTTCTTGCAGCAGATGTTAGCAAATCGGCGGCCGATACCTTTGATGGAAGTGAGAGCGAACATAATCTTCTGCTTTCCATCAACGTTGGTGTTGAGGATACGCAAAATATGCTGGAAATCTTCATTGGCTACCAGACTCTGCAAAATCACAAAGACACGTCAATGGAATCATTAAAGAGAGCTGGTGAGATAGTTCTCCTAGACACAGTTCAGCGGAAACTGCCGTCGAACTCACCATGGCTGCGGCGCTGCTCTCCTATCCGTCTCTCGCTGCTAGGTTTTGGTTTGGAAAGAAGATGGTTTTTATTACGAGAACTCCGCGCGCCTATTTTTTAACTGAAGTGACAAATATATCCCTAGTACTATATCGAACCTAGGTCTGTCGATGGGTCGGGTCCAGACCCAAACCCGACTCGAATCCGTCTTTTTTTAATGGGTATGGGTCTACATTTAATTCCATTATCCGGACCCGTTATTTAATGAGTCGGGTATGGTATATGTAGTTCCGGCCCGTTTAGGACCCGATCCGTTAATATTTATTTATATATATACATTAGTCTAATATACATATTACATTAGTTGTTGCCCACATTAGGATTTAGCTTAATAAATCCAAAGAAGGATCCCTAGAGACCCTAGAGTACGCACACCGTAGAGGATTCAAGAAAAAGCTTGTCAAGTTTCCAAAGCCATTAATTTTACTCTTTATTCTAACACTACGTATCTTGCAAATTATAAACCAACTCAAAAATATTGCGTTTGATTGAGTAACTACAGACAAGTAATTACAGTTCATGTGCCAAATTGTTGCCAGAAAAGTACTCAGTAGTAAGAGGCTATGTTTTTTTAAGAAATTAGAATTGGATTTTCGTGAGACGGGTCGAGTCTACGTAACCCGGTTCCGAAACCCAATGGGTAAGGGTCCGGAACATTAGTACTAGACCCACCGGGTATATGGGTCGGGTCTGGAACCCTATAGAGGCGAACGGGTCCGAGTCTGGGATACTACGTTCCGACCCGTACCTGACCCGTTGACAGGTCTACCCCACCTACCAATTTTTTTAACACGGCACTCCTCAAATCTAAATAAGGTTTCCAAATAGGTTTACAAATGTGTTGGGCGCTCGTGCTCCACCGTTAGCTTCTTTTAAAATAGGAAAAAATCATTAAAATATCCTAAACTTTGAAGGGGTGTGAGATAAATACCTTGAACTTTTATATGTAATTTAAATACTCTAAATTTTATATAAAAAGTTATTTTAACATCATGGTTATGTATGATTTCTTTCAAAAATGTAAATTTATGGTGTTAAATGCATAATTTAAAATAGCAAATTGAAAACATTAGAATTATATGTAGTGGTGGGTAATACTATTTATTTTACAATAGAAGCTTAGAATGTTAATTGTATTTTTATGAATGCTAAAAATTATCAAATTATGAAATAAACACCAAAAATTAATATTTTTGAAAGAAATAATACATGACCATGGTGCTAAAATAACTTTTTATATAAAGTTTGGGGTATTTAAATTACACGTGCTAGCTTGGGTTGTTATTTCACACTCCTTCAAAGTTTGGGGTATTTTAATTATTTTATCCTTTAAAATAAAATAAGTTCTTATATTTCCAAAATTTTATGTTAAATATTTCCAAATACACTTAAATTCCCAATACAATCACGATTATACTTTCTAACTACCATCAAACAACTACTATATAAATATTTGGAACCGGTTACTAATGATTTTATTATTTTTTACATTCTTCTTATACAATGAAGGATGAATCTCAAAATTATCTAAAAAATAGTTATCTTGATTTTCACACTTATGAGGTCGTATGTTAGCACAAGAAAAAAAAGACTTCATGCAAAATGTAATGAGATGAGAAATCCAAAACTTAATACTATGCAAGCGCGTGGGAGTACACTGAAAAAAACAAAAATTCCAAGGGTACAATATCATATCATGGGTCTTGTGGACGTGACAAGGATATTAAAAGGAATCAAAATCGAATGCAATTTAATCTCGGTAATGATGTTGAGACATTAATGCTTGGACATATTAGTAAATTTGTGGACGTTATTGGAGATGAACATTGTGGATATCGCTCATTTGCGGAGCTTTTAGGATGGGGAGAAAAAGAATGGTTTAGACTTCGAAGGAAGTTAATAGAAGAACTAGATCGTCATCATGTACGGTCACATATGTTACATGACTAGATTTATGGTGTGAATGGTATTTAGGATGTTTTTAATTGAACTGATTTCGAACCAGATAGATTCAGACAAATAGAATCAGATCTGACTACACTAGATTTAAATAATAGTAAATATACATTTATCGACCTTTCACGAAAATTGACCAGATTTTTTATGTAAAATTACATATATAATATTGGTGTCATATGAAAGATCATAAAAAGATATTTAATTTGGTATACTTTTTATAAAAATTGAAGCAAAAATAAAAAAGTTATGACATTTTATAAAAAAGGAATTCCTGGCCACATGACAGCATTTTATTGGATCTATATTTAATTCAAAATTGATATTAACAAGGGAGCAGAGCATAGAGCTGTGGTGCGCAAAGCAATTTTAATTAACATTTTAATTATACTTAATTTTAATTAATAATTAAGAAGGCCAAATTTGTCCACCCATGGTTACGTTAAGCAATTGTGGGGGTGCACGAAAAAACCCCTTTAGGAGAAACCATGTTTTGAAAATGTCTAAGTACCCTCATTATTTATTAAAACTCTTTTGCGTCCCAAAACAATGGATAACATATGGACATGCCCAATACTGTGAAATACATTAAAATATTCGGACAGAACTCAGAAGGTTGGATGAAGCGAGAAGAAACGGACTGGGGTTAGCCAGCTTCCTCTTCTTCTTCTTCTTAAATTGATCATTACTTTATCCAATTTTATTTTATGTTAAAAACAACACACTTCATCGAATTACGGAGTATTTGATATTGGGTTCTTAAACTCTTTCTATAATCACTGAATTTGAAGAAAAAACAATTCTTTAATATGTCCATTACTTGCAACCCAAGTTCCTAATTGATTATTTATAGGAGGATTTGGAGCTTGAATGCTCTTTCTTGTATTCTTCTTTGATTTTGTTTCTCTATCTAATATTTAGCATTTTAATCAATGTTTATCAAGAAAGGTGGAAATGGAACAATTCCTCACTCATAATGTTTATCACTATTATGGGGTACATAATTACCTAATTTGCTTAAATTAGTAGGGTTTAAACATTATGACATTCTCGAATTATTGTGATATATCTTATTTAAACAGAGAATATGATTATACAAGTTGCATATACAAGTTGCATATACAGATATAAATATATAATAAGGAGTACTAATTCTGCTAAAACGAAGAATGAGGGTACGATTGACTGTCAGGTAAGAGTTATTTGACTGTCAATTTGACCTTCATTCCATCCAAAGTTTTCATTAGTTTCTTGTTCCGCTCACTTTACCACCAAATGGAGCCTAAGAGTGACATGGTATGTGTTGGTGACATGGTGTATTGGTACATCATTTCCTTGATTTGTGGGATAGCATGAGCCGAGGTCCCTCCAGGGATGGCTTTCTTCTTACATGTTAAGATGAAGATGTGCCCCGTCAATGTTTTCAGTTCTGTTTATAGGTCTAAAGTTGTCATTGACTGTAAGTATGATAGGAATAGGACCATTAGGCTAATAACAGGGCCCAGTAGGCTATTAATAGAAAGAAAAACAAAGAGTGTAGTATTGTAGTATAAATAGACGGAAAGGGGAGGTAGTAGAGTAGGTTGTTTTGACGTTTTAGTCTGGACTGGGAAGATTGAGATCTGTCATCTCTCTCTTTTGGGGGGCTTCGGCCATTGTTACATGTTCCTTTCTAATAAAGTTTGCTGAGTTTTCTGGATATTTCTTCTGTAATTTTTTGTGAAACTGAAGTCATCTATCAGTGGTATCAGAGCACATTGATAATTGGATGATCATTACGCGTGCAGAAATGGAAGAAAGAAAGAACCAATGGGAAGACAATAACCAACATACTTCGGCAAAAATAGCGGCGTCAATGATTGCGATAAAGGCAAGCCTCGCAATCTTGGAGAAGAGAATCTAGAAACGATCGAAGAGCAAGTCGCACACTTCGCACAAGTCGCACACTTCCATCAACATTGTTGTTGAGGATACGCAAAATGTGCTGGAAATCTTCATTCACTACCAGACTCTTCAAAATCACAAAGAAACATGAATGGTGATGGAGTATATGGCCCGGGAACCCCCGGTCCACAGACTCCTACTACTCCAGCGAAGGCCCAACAGGCCCAACAGGCCCAAATCACAGCGCCCAGAGTACCAAGCAGCCCGCACAACGCGCCCGGGGTGCCTTCGGCCCCCTGGCCGAAGGCTCCAAATTCTCACAGAACGGGTTTCTCAAGCAAATTAAGAAACTGGGAGAAAACGGCGAAAACAGTAGCCCTCGGCACTGTGAGCCCTCGGCACCAGGGTGCCATCGGGTGGAAGAGCCCTCGGCTACTGCTCTATAGCCGAAGGCATCTCACTCGACAAGATATCCGCCTCACATGCGTACAGATCACCGTACCCCGCACAGACGTCCCGTCCAACAGCCGCATTAAATGCGGCCACATGCGGCTGCCAGCGCCAACCAGTTGAGGTGACCCCTCGGCCAATGAGCGCTTGACACGTGTCCCTGCCCGGCATTTATTGCTACTATAAATAGCGCCCCATTTCCTCATTTGTAACCACGCTGAAAACGGCATTCATATTGAATACACTCTCTCTCTACTTTTATTTACTTGCTCTGACTTCTCTCTTGTTACTTCCCGCAATAACCCTTCGGATATATACCCCCGGGTAGACTATCCATCATTTGGTGCTCTCGTTGAGAGGTTGAACAATCGAGTAAGAAACCCTCCCCCTCGACCAAACACAAAACACTAGCCCTCTATCAAAATGGTGAGGACAACACATGCCAACTCGAAAAACGTAGAAGACAAGAACCTGGCCTTCGGCGACGTCAACGCCCCTGAAGCCTCTCACAGGGCTCCCGAGGGCGGTGTCATCGCTGGGCTGGAACAGGCGGCTGTCGACCTACGCCTTCAGATCCAACAAAATGCCCCTGATGCCTGCCTCGGCATCGAGGCCAAGAAGAAAAACCGGAGCGATGACCAAGTCAGCCCTCCGGTTCTCACCATCGACGTGCAATCGGCGCTCTCCGCCTTCATCCAGACGCTCACCCAGAACCCGGGTGCCTTCGGCACCCTGGCTCCAGCTCCCCCTTAGATCGGGGAAAATATCAT